TCTTGCCCTGGCATGCTCCAGCTTGGCTTGCCATTGTCATTTTGAGATTGAAAAGTTTCTTAAGTATCTGGCAGCTAACCTGAACCTAGCATCTTCAAGAGCCTTGTGTGTTTAGATCAGTGAACACAGATTACTATTCTGACTTTGTTTGTTTCCCTGTCATTCCATGGAAGAAAGTTGTACTGTATTAAAGATAAAAAGTATACTAATTTTATCATCTTGACAACTGAAAATGTTCTAGCCTCACCTCACCGTGCCATGATTACCTTGATGGAGAAAAAAGCACTTTCTGTTCCCACTTGCTCTCAAGTCTAAGCCAAGTACTTCTTGTCATGCTCCTGATGCTTTGTGCAGCCTTTCCCTGCTCCCCTGGCTTCACAGGCTCACATGGACCCCTTTGGTTGAAGGAAAGGGCTCCCGTGTATGTGGCGTCCAGGAAAATATCACTCTTTCTTAATTTTCATCTTGACAGATGGATTAACTCTGAATTGCTTGGAATTTTTGCGCAAACACAGTTACCTTCCAGTTCTTGGCTAGAAAATAATAAAAGTATCGGTGATACTAATAACAGGTGACAGTCTCGTAAGAGATGATGTAGTATAGTAGAAAAGCCCTAGTGTCAGACAACCCATTTTTAAAGCGTAGGTCCATTATCTACTGTATGATGTACAAACTAAGTAACTTCTCTGTGCTATTTTTTAAATTCTGCAAAATAGGAATAATAGTAACTTTATTGTAAGGATGCGTTAGAAATTACAGAGAGGTGGAAAACTGATAGAAGCTAAATGTTCAGTAAATGCTAGCTATTAGTAAAAGCTATTAAAAATGGGTCATACAGTGTTACAAGTTACAAATGGATTGTTTCATGTTAGGTGATTTAAAGTCTTCCACAGAAGCCAGGTTAAACAACATTTGGATAATCCATTATCTAAATGTCTCCTTCTCCCATTTTCCTTTGTACTCTGTCCATTAAATTTGGTATAGCTAACGGCCACCACCTTGCCACTAAAGCCAGAATATTCTGTAATCATCTCTGCTGTACCAATTTCATGAGTATTCAGCTCCTCAGCACAGAATACCAATTGTATAAAAAGTGCAGTGAATTCCAATTCACTTTTGATTGCAATGATCTAAACCAAACACAAAACCTAGTTGATCCAAGGTGATTTGGGCTGGTAGTATTTTGTGTGTTACGTGATCTGCACACTCAAACCAGGAGTATCATTGAATTTAACATATTTTCCTTTTCAAAAAATAGAGTTCTTGTAATTAAAAACATTTTTTAAAATTTCAGTATGTGTAATTGTTAACACCTGCTATGTGTTACTAACAGATGTTTCTTACTTACCTAAGGGAACTGTTATAATTATTCTATAAGCTTATTGGAATGGCATTACTAAGATAGTTGGGAAACTTCAGTGTGACTTTGTATGTGATATTTGCTATTAATTTTAATTTCTCCCCCTATTGCTGTCAATCCTCTCACACCCTCCTCAGTCTAGTCCATCAAAGCAAAACTGTCCCTTTGGACAGGAACACAGTGCTTTTGGAAGGAACACAGTGCTTTCCACATTGGTCATGCATATTTTAGCCTTAATGAAAAGTTACTGAAATTAAGTACTGTGTGTTCTAAGGCACTGAAAAATATACTCTGAATTGTTCTAGCAGCAAATCCTTATAATGTTCAATGTGGAAGTCTTACATCTCTGTTCTAAATACAAAGCTACATTTTAGAACAATTATAATCTTCCAATAGCTTGACTTCAGAAGAAATTATAGTCAAATGATAGTTTTCTTTATTTTTATGATCATTTATAAGGTCCTAAAAACAGTAGGCTTTCTGAATTCTTCATTGACTAATCACACAATTATCTACAGGCATGCATTAAATGACACTAGTTTCAGGCAAATAAGGGGCCAATTGCAAACAATGAATAAAGAGAGGCAGCTCCATTTATAACCACTGTTTCAACAGAGCTCTATTGTAATCTTAGTGATCTGAGGGTGACTCACTAATTAATTGGTGTTCCTTTTTATTATGTGCTATTGAGTTAATGAGTAATTTGTGAGAGATAATTCTCTGAACACATTGATTACTTGAGATATTTTCTGGGGCTTTCATAGCCGTGACAAGCTGAATAGGTAGGATATGGAATTTGCTTTTGTGTGCTCATTATTAGGTCTGAGATGAGAAAACTGTGCAGAGACACATTCAAGTTGTCTGAGGCATAAAGTATCCTAAATCTGCCCAACCAGAGACTGAGTTCTAAGGACAAGGTCTGTTGCATAGTAGGCACTCAACAAATGTCAGTTGACATAATGATTGTAAAGAAGTTTTGTTCCATATTACCTGAAATTGCATTAAAATTATACTTATGTATTACCTATAGTGATGTTTTGAAAAAAAATCAAAAGGCTTTGGCTCAAATTGTATTCTACACTAATGGCCTATTACCATAAACATGCAGATTGTTTCTGTGACTTAACGAACGTGAACACTAAACATGTATAGCCCATACCACTTCCATGAAATCGGCTAAATGAACATGCAGGGTGGGTTGCCTAGAGTAAGAGTTAAAAGGAAGCTGCTTTTACGTGACGTAGTTATCACCCTGTTTTTAGGGAAAGCACAGCAGCTCTTCCTTGACAACGGTGAGGTTTTTTGTTTTAATTTATTGTATCAGAAATCTGAAATTTAGTCTGAAAGCAGCAACACACCGCCTTTCAATAGGAACACTTAAAATTTATATAACTATACAAAGTTACACCCACAATCACTACCTTCAGCTTTGACAGTTTTGTTCGCTCCTCTTTGACAACCCCCCGCCCAACCCCTGACAACACACACACTCTTGAATGTACACAGCAGTCCACTGCTTAGCTCAGAGATCCTAGCAGAGCATTTGGAGAATGCTTTGGAGGTACTTCGGCTGTGCTTACTAGGATTTACCTTTTGAAAATAAATGTTACATACTTTTTTTCTTTTTCATGACCTTAATGTATACCTTTTAGATTTCATCTTAGATTTTACCAATTAAGTACAATCAGATAATGTAATACCCCTTTTATTAAAAACAAATCCAAATATAAAAAGTGAATGAAAGAATCCAGCAGATATTTATTAAGCAAGATGAAAAGTGAAATTACAAACACAGGTCAGCTTTTGAACGCAGCCAACACCCTGGTGGGGTGGAGGCGCCTGGTCCTTGTCGTAGACAGTGACCAGGAGATGCAGCTAGAAAAGAACTTTTTCTGCTTGATGAACCAGAGCCCCACTGGAGATGTCCCACTGGTGGCATCAGATAGCAAGCTAAGTGACATAAGGGCTACACAACACAAAGAGGAATCAACACCAATGCAGGACTTTGAGTAGTCAAGACAATTAGTACTTCAGGTCAAAAATACTGTTTACCGTCAATTAGGTATAAAATGGCCTTTTTCTGTCTTGTTTCACAATTTCATGGAGATTAAAGATAATCTAAAGAGATTAAGGCCTTAATCTTTAATCCAGGTGAGTAATTTTGCTCACAGTAAAAAGCATAAGGTTTAATTCCCAAAGGATTAAGCAAAAGGTAAGGCAGTGAAAACCTTGTTTGTTCTTTGGGTGACAAGAATAGTGGAACAGCTTCAGGAAGCTGAGAGGACTTTGTTTCCACTTTTACAAGCATTTGTTCATGCCAGTAAACATATGCAAAATCACTTAAATCTGAAAAAGGTCATTTGAAAAAGATACTGACAATTAAAATTTTACATCCATATGAATTTCAAATAGCTCTTACTGGGATCTAGCAGGGCCATATATGAAAACCATTCTCCACCCCAAGCCCGACTCCCATTTGTTCTATTTCGCTTGGTTTGGTTTCAGCTATGCAAGTCTTTCCAAGAAACAAATGTTAATTCTCTACAAGGTAGAAGAAGTTATTTTGTGGGATTCACATAGCTATTTTTGAAATTATTTTTTCAGTGTATCTCAAATTTGGAGGACTCCTGATTTTGAATACCCTTAACCATGAAGCATTGTGAAAAGACATGTCATTCATTTTTCACGGAACTCTTTCCTAAAGAATAAGAGGAAAGGCCCAGATTCACATGCATGTTCATAAATAAAGCTTTGTTTTCAAAACAACCAAAATTCACACCAGCATTATTTTCAGCTTAATACTTTGGCCCCAAACCAAGAATCCAGGTATTGTCTTTAATTTTTATCTGCAATGCATTTATTGGCAGGACAAAATATGCATGTAAATAACACTGGGAAGTACTATTTCCTATACAGGTGATAAAAAAAAAAAAACCTACACTACTAAAATTGCTTCAGTAAAAATATGCTTCATTGTGCCTGTGTAGAATTAGATTTGTTGAAAAAGTAGTTCTTTTTAGGGAGCAGAAGCAAAGTATGAACAACCCAGAAGAGGGGGGTAAGTCTCATTTAATTTTCCTTAATTGCAATTTAAATAATCAGTCTCCATAATTTCTGTTTCTAGAAAGATTTCTTTATCAGCTATCATGTAGGTAAAGAAATAATGTTTCATTTAAAAAAATGGAATGACAGGTTTCAGCTTAAGCGTGATATATTCTGGGTGGGTAATTACTTAAAGAAAGCAATGAGACTAAGACACATCAGACTCTTAAAATGTATACTTCTGAACATTAAAATCAATGGCAGGTAAATACTGAAAAATAATCACCTGTTCTCAGTTTTTTATCAATCCCTTTGTTTCTCTTTTCCCTGGAACATTCTATGAGCATAATGTTGCTTTGCTCAAAAGTGATCACATATTCGAGAGTCAGTGTGTGTTATGGTTTCAGTAGATTCACACTCAAATTTGTTTTATGCCAGGAATTTATCAAGCCATAAAGTTAGCAAACTTTTAATTCTGTGGAGAGATCTACACAAAACTTGTGTAAGAAATTAAATGTATCATTTTAAAATTATCTCATGATCAATGTAATACCTTTTAAGGTAACCCTTTGGAAAAATTTTACATGATCCCCAAAGGCACTAGGTCACATAAGAGGTGAATGGCTGAAAATAAACAAAGTCATTCTATTGGCAGAAAAGCACAAAAAAGGATAGTAAAAGGATAATGGTTAAGTTTTAAAGTCATTCTAAAAATGGCACTTTTCATATGTTGTAAAATGAAAGTGCTGTAAGGTTGAATTTGTATGTATTTTTTTAAAGCTGATCTTTAACCCCCTGAAAATAGGGGGTTATAACGGGAACACTAAATCATAATGGCAATAATAATGGATGTTGCTAAAATGCTTTGTGTGTGATTTTATTTTTTAGTATTTTTAACGTTGATAGACTTGCTTTATCTATATGTGTATCATTAGTGAGATTTGCTCTTCAATTCTTTACTAGAAAGTTACAGCTCATTTAAAATAGCTGGTAGATACAGAAAGCATAAATATACAGTAAGTTTCAACACTGATTGTACTAAATGCAACAATACAAAGCAAACAGAACACAAATGGTAACACAATAAAACTGTATTACATTTGTGCTTCAAATATTACAATACATTATATACAATAGTCCAAAATAAACATCTCATGCCAAGTGACACAAAAACGAATAGCAAGCAAAAAAATCCAGCAATATGTACATTACTGTTTTCTTTAATAATAAACATTCAACTCTGAACTGGGGCCATTTCACTACATACAGATGCAGTCCGCCTTTTATTCCAATAGAACCATCCTGCTTTCCTATATCTACGCTATTCAGTTGGTTCCTGTGTCAATTCTTATATACACGTGGAGCAAAAAAGATAAAAGAATGTAGTGCTTTTTGTATTCTTATTGGGGTGATAGATCAGCGAACCTGGGGTGCATAGCCTTCTTTCATTAAACCTTCCTCGTAGTCCGTCTGGCAAAGGATCATGTTATTCTTTAGGAAAAATTTATCTCCAACACAAAATCTGAAAATAGTAGAAAAACAATGTGTTAAGACCACTTCATTCAAATCTATAGATTTCAAGGTTTGTTTTATTGATAATCTCACATGCAGATTTCCTGAATTTAAAATCTGTGTTGAAAAGGTTGCTTTATTGCCAAAGTAAACCATTTACTCTATTGAATGAAATATTGCACACAAAATTTGAAACCCCACCTTTCATAGGAACATCAAGGAAAACACCTAGGGCAGTAAAGATGATTTTAAAATCACATTGGAAAGAAAACATAACTGATCTATATTTATACTCATTAAAATAAAAGAATATTTCACAGCAGTGATTATGGAGGACGTTGGCACTGACCATTTACTCACTGAATCAAATGACTAAAAAGAGGCCATATCACATCCTCCCACTTAAAGTTTCCTTTCTCTCTTGATATTAAAATGTGTTTAAACTCTAGTAAATTGGGAAGGGATTGTTCTGAATTAGTCATTTTAGCATCAAACACTGAAGCTGGGCCATCTTGCTCTGAAATAGTAAACATCATTTCTTAGAGCATTTCCAGCTAAACCAGAGAGAGTAAGCTGAATGAACTTGTTAATATTGATGTGATAAATAAGTTTCCAGTAGATAATTATGCATTTTATTCTACAAAACATTGTTTAATGTGCAAGATGTAATGTTTTTAATAAGTGCTCTTTTTGTATAATTTCCTAGTGGTGACACTTTGGACACAATTAAGGTCAGAAATAAACGCTTGTGCCTTTTCCAGTACATTTAACAATAAACTAACTCTGGGTAGATCTGTATATATTTTTAATTGTAACAATTTAACCTTCAAACAGCAATGTCCGGTAGACTTGACCCAGTAAAACTACTTGTAATTATACAAGTTGACCTCACTGACCTTTGATAGTGGTCTCTCTTTATCAGATAGTCAATTTTGAATGATGTTCAAGCAGAAATCTTAGTGGATAGATTAAATTGTATAGTGAAAGCCACCCTTTAGTGCTTTGTGAAGTTGAAGGTTTAAATGAGTAGCAGTTGAACTGATTTACATTTGCAAAGATTGGAATGCTAGACAAACAGTCAACCTATTTATTTTCCAACTGGGTAGATTTGGAAATTTATCCTTATTCCAGCTAAGTAGATAGAGGGGAAAATAGTGTAATAAAAAAAGTAGATTGAAAAGAATTAGCTTTCCTCTTAAAGGAAAATTGGTCTGTTTATTTGTGGAATTTATTTTTTTTTCCCCAGGATTACTGCCTGCTGATGATGTTGATTGAAAGTACAGAGTATGCACTGATCTTGAACTCCAGGAGTTGTTTGTGGTCAAGGCGATTTCATAAAATGAACACCCAGGTTCGAACTTTAAGTATATCTTCTTTTTTTTTTTTTGAAACTTCAAACTATAAATCTCACTGCAACCCTGATTATTAAGACAAGTTGAAGAAAATACTTCTTTTGTTAGACAAGCCCAAATAGCCAAATTATATACCTTTATGTAACATGGTATAAAATGTGTAAAATATATTTGATTATTCTTTTAAAATGATCAATTTATATTACTGTTGAGATTAATTTGAATAAGCTTGTAGTAAAATGTTATCCCAAAATATGTTTATAATATATACAGTGTATTTCACACTTTGAGTCAGTTTTCTGAGAGTGAAATGAAAATGCTGGATTATGGGGATGTTACATTCAGAAGCATATGATAACAGAGAGGTATGTATTTACATAATATCAAATCTGACCTTAAGATGTTGAAGATAAACTTACGGTTTTCTTTTGCAAGTTTGTGGTGAAGAGCAGAAATGAAATGTTATCAAGTTTTCCTGCTTTGGAATGTATATAATTAAAAGAATACCATGAGTATCATATATACCCAATCACATTTATTCCTTATATCCAACCAAGAAAACAGATAGTATCATTGCTTTACAGATGAAACAGTTAGCAGGATCCAGAATTTTAGAAACTTGCCATGCTTCATAACTAGAGTGTATATTGTAGAGTAAGGAACCCAGGTCCTGTCGGACACAAGGCCCTGGCTTTTTACCTATAAACAAAAAGCATTAGCTACCCTGTTTTACAGGTTTTTTGTGTTCCTGTAACTCATTGCATAACTTCAGAAGTCAGCATACCATTCCATGAGATGTTGATAGTATGAATGATATCCATTTAAAATATTTCTGTCTGAAATGTTTTGTTGCTAATATGTTGTCCCCTGGATAAATTCCACTTCATTTTATACTTAAAATTCAGGATGATACAGAACATGGATGGATGAGGTAAGCCACACGTATACATAAGCTACAAACAGCCATGAAAAGTATGGTAAAGAGCACATGGGACTGGTATATAATTAGGACTGATAGCCTCCTTTAACATGGACCATAGATAAATAGGAAGAATTTAGAGAAACACTGATGCAGGTCTTAAATGCTTTACAAAACAATCTACATGATTTTGTAAGAAAGCTGAATTTTCAACATTATGTAACTAGCTCTTTCCTAGTTTTAGTTAGCATATTATACAGATCAGCTTAAAATTCCTGAAAATGAAATAAATAATCTTCCTTATAATTGCTAATGATATAGTCAGTTCAGTTAAGATTTTAGTCATGAAAAGTTAAAGAATAGATTCTTCCTCAAATTGTTAAGCCATCTAATCTTGATGTTTTTGAATTAATAATAGTATTCACTTCCAGATATTTTGGAGTGATTCTACTTGAATCTGTAAGTTCTTCAGACTTGAAAAGTACAGAAAATAAGTATAGTTAATAAATCATCCCTATAAAATATGAGGCTTAGTGTAGTTTTAAGCAGGTTATCAAAAAGTCTCTGCTAAAAAGCCTCCATTTGTAACATCCTTCCTAAGAAATGAAAATGTTAACTTAGTCATCTTATTTCCCTAAGGTTACTGACTGTCAGAGTTAATTTCCATCTTCACCACACTTTTTTTTTTTTTAATATTCATGCAGAACTGGGGTACAGGCCAGAAATGCGGAGGGTGGGAGGAGGCACCAGAGACAGAGTGGGGAACAGAACAGGCAGACTGTAGAAGTACACTGCTGAGGGGAGCAGCAGGCGGGTCAGGAGAGGTCTGCCGCACCACGTGGTCACCTGCAGGGAGGTGGGGGGCAGATGGGATCGAACTCATGCAGAAGTGGCTTAAGCTTCTTAGTGTTGTGCTTTAACCCCCTGTGCCACCAGCGAGGGCTTTCACCACACTTTTAAAAGTGGTGGGATCCAATCTCTATTCCAGTTTCTCTCCTTTTCTATTCAGCCTCTTTTACTGAAAGAGAAGAATCAGGACCCATCACTATAAGCTTTGGAAGGAACTTACTGTCTTTTCCCACAGATAGCCCAAGGTCATTACAACACTTCATTCCCAGCAATCTTCTCTGCTCCACTCTACTCACACCCTGAATCCTGCTATCAACTACTCAAAGTCTACTCCACTAATCTATTCACCTTTATAGCCTCCTACCCTGAGAATAAAATTACCCCTTGTTAGTAGGACAGGGCCCAAAGACTAGCTCTGGATCCAGAAGTAACACCTGACTGCCTGACTTCAGAGATGGAGTCTGCCATTTTTTAAGTGTGCAATCTTAGGCATGTTACTTACATGTTTTACTTTTCACTCTCATCTGTAAAAGAAGGCTAATTGTTGTACTTCCTATGGGATATTCAGAGGATTAAATGAGTTAATACATATAAAACTAAAGAAAGTGTGTGGCAATGATCAGCATTTATAAGAATTTGCCATAGTGAGTTGTTAATAATGGTAATGATTCATCTTTGCTTCAGCTGTTCCCTAATCAGGTTTTTTTTTTTTTTCTTTCTACTTATATTCTAAATATTCCTTAGTGTCCATTCCCTCTATTAGTATTCTCTGATAGCCTCAACGCATTCTGATCGTTTCCAAAGCACTTATTTATGGGTGTATCATTTACTTTGGCATTTTAAATTTTCTCATGAATGTGTAACAGATTTCCCAGTCTGGACAGCAGTGCTGAGGTCAATGATCATGAATTATATTTCTTTTGAACCCTTTGCAATATCGTCATAAATTATACTGCTGCTTGAGGTGGGTGGTCAATAAATATTGGTTAAGATACATTTATTCCAGAAATGAATAGCTTTAAATAACAAAGAAGAATGATTTAAATACATTTTTACTTTCATTTATTGACTTCCTAACTTCATAATTTCATTCTTTACTCCTCCATATCTCTACCAAATTCTACCTTCTACACTGAGCTACTTTTCGTACTTGGGCATATTAAATTCTTTCATACTTCCATGCTGCTCCATCTGTTGGAAAACCTTTACCTCACTGCTGGCTGGCTTCCTCATCTTCCTCCCCGTCCCAGCAAACACACTTTTACATTCCATTTTTTTCTAGAGAGTTCTTTTTTTAAAACCAATATATTAACCCTTTGAGCTTCCCCAAGACTTCAAGAAGGAGGGACTTCTATCTCTTCTTTTCCATTACACTCTTCTATGAATCTCTGATGTCTTATCTTTTATATAGCTCTGCAGACTACAGACAGAGAAAGTAGACACTATTCACCTGTTTCCACAGAGCCTAGGCTAGTGTTTTTATCTTTAATAAAAGATGAGATGTATACAGTTCTACATATTTGAGATAATATTTCATTATAAATAAGCATTGTTAAATAAAACCATCACTTAATTTTAAATAATTTCTAAGGAATTTCAGCTTATTCACCTTTAAGAAATTAACCTATTACACAGATTTTTCAGTTCTTAAGGAGATATGAGTTATCATGCAACACACTCAGAATAATTTTTTCTGATTTTCCTTTTAAAATAGAGAAAACCAAGATTTTTTTCAAATTCAGCATTCACCATTTTAGTTATATTCTCCTAAAACAGGCAAAGTATATAACAGGGAACAATCACTCCTGAGAGGTTATCAGCAATACCATTTTAAAAACATTCAGAAGTGCCTTGGCCATTAAATTTTGATTTAAATTAAGATGAAATAACTGCTAAGTGAAATTCTAAGCATTTATTATGCCACAAATTCAGATATCTGGGAAGTCTGCATAAAAGAAAGTACTTAGAAGTGCCCTAATTCTATTAAGTTCCTCCTGAAAAGGTACAATGCTATGCCAGTCATTTGGCTACTGAAAGAACAGTGACAGATGGCTGTATTGGGCAGGATTTCCCATGCAAACAGGAAAAGTAGAGTCTCCTATATTGAAAACCTTCTGTATTTTTAGAGTAGCAAAATTTGTCTACTTTGCTTGACTGATGAAGATTAGCTGACTTCTTGCATTAAAGAAGTTTGTCTTGTAGGGACTGAAGTGACAAGACAATAACTAAGTGCTAATTGTGCATAACCAGCAGTAAAGATATGCAGTCCCATTATGGCATGTAATAAATGAAGCGAACACAGAAATATATTAGGTACTTTAATAATGATACTAGAATAGTATTTTGCAGCAATAAGAATGTGAACAGTTTTAGAGTCAAAATTTAGGAGTGTTTGTCTTACTTGACTGAGTTCCACTGAGGAGATAGACTTAATTGTGAATGCAACTTTTTATTTCAGTGCTGAAATAAAATTGATATATGATTTGTAAATAGCATTAACAACCTACAATTACTTTGCATCATAATAGAATTTAGGCTGAGTTTACCACTTGAATGATGTTTTAATTTTCTATAGAGAACATGGATAAAATAGGTAAGCCTGCCCTAATAGAAGAATGGATAAAGGGCATAAACAGGTAAGTTCCTAAGAGAAGAAATACCAAAGGGCCACTCGTAATCAAATAAATACTAATTAAAATTTTAATACCATTTTTCTTTCCTGAAGGTGACAAGATTTTCTTATTAAGTAATAACCCCCCAGTGTTAGAGCAACTGTGAGGGACTGTCTAGATTTTATATTTACTGTGAGAGAAAAACTGGTATAACTTTTCTGGAGAACATTTTGGCAATGTGTAAGTCTACTTTGTTACCTGCTTTGTGCTGTGAATTTAAACTGACACAGATTTGAACTTAAAGGATTATATTTTTAATATGACAGTATAAAAACTTGAAGAAACATGATGTGTACATCTAGTGGTAGATAACTAATTTACTAGATGAAGCTCTATAAACCTGATCATGACACAACTTAAGTAGCACAAATAATTAAAGGCAGGTACACTCACTAGCAGTTCAAATATCAAGTATTAGATTCTGTCGTGTCACTTTCTGTAGAGCTGCTTGAATATGGGTAAAACAGAAAGTATATGCTATCTATTTGTCATATGTGCACAGACAAATGTATGGCTAGATATACACTAAAGTCATTTCCTTTGGAATGATATATGGAGCATTTATCCCCTTTTTCTACCATGAATATGTAACTTTTTATACATCGAAAATTTGTACTCCATAAAGGTAACTTTACTATTAGTGGATCAATGTGAAAAGTACACAGAAGTATTTTAAATTTACTACTGGTACACCTTTCAAATACAGTATGTCCTCACCCACGTGTGTGGCTCTATACCCTTATAACAAACAACATGTACATTTGCCAATTTATGTTTGACACAATGCACCCTGCACTACATTACCTACTTTGACTCCATACCTTTGCTGGGAACACTGAAAATGCTGTATGATGACTTCTTGTAGTTTTTCCTGGATAAGTTTTACATGGCAGTATACAGTAGGCCACATTCTCAACACACGCAGGAGGTTACTACTGAACTATCTTTGTAAAAACCAAGCTAATGAAATACTATTTGGTATAATTTTATAAATATCAAGGTAAAATAACTTCATTTCAAAGAACCTCTTGTGTTCTTGGTACTTAATATAATTTCATTTAAAATTTTCTAGTCTCCATTTTCTGAGTTTGGAAATCAAATTCAGAGATAAAGTAACAATCAAGATTGCATAGCTAATATATGCAATCGAATGTGATTCTCATGGTTAACATCATATTCTTTCTACCCTTTATAGAGCCTCCTAAGAAGATGCTGCACTGACAATCAAAACAGAAAATTACAGTAACTAAGAAACTGACACAGCTGATATTTACTGGTCGGATGCCATATCCAGGTGTTCACCATATTCTTGTGAGTTTTTCATTAAGATTATCAAGAGTACTAATTTCTGAAATGTATTAATGATGAGTATTTAGAATTCTAATCTCTTCTGCATTTGTCACATAAAATAAGTGCCACTAGTACATATTTCCCATTGGAAATCAACCTTCTACCTTAAAGTAAGGAAAAAATAGGATGAAGTCATAATACTCTGAGATGACAGTTACCTGACAGTGACTAGCCAACTCCCTTATTTAACAATTGAGAAAAACTAAGGATAGAGAACTGATGAGTTGAGGAACAAGCACGCTGCTTATCAGAGTCCAGACCAGCACTTGGCTTCTGGATTCTCTGCAAAGTTGCCTCTCCAGTGCTGAGAACTGCCCCATTATTACCTACAGTAGGCTTCATCCCTAAGCACCTTTGAGGTAACTTTAAAAAGTCCATATAAGATAGGGTTAAAATGCAAGCTAAGAAATCAAGGCCCTAGGCAGTGGTAAATATGAAAATTGCAGTGAATGCCCATTCTCTGCCACAAATTTACCTCAGTGTCTGTTTACTGACAGAACTAGAGCCCACCTTAAACCTACTTTTTAAAAGGCAGAAGAATGGATAATAAACAGGCTAGGAAGCATGTTCATTTCCCACTTCCTCCTTAGGAGGGTACACTTCTGGGTAGACATGTAGTCCTAAGACCTCTCTCCTCCTCTGTGGTTTGTTTCTGGCAGTGAATGAATGTTGGCAGGAAACAAAATTCTGAGATTAATTGCTGTAAGTAAAGTGTGTATAATTCCCACCTATTAACTAAATAGTCAGCTAAGAGGGGTTTGCAGTTTTTTAGACGCCAGGATGGACTTGCTTACCTCTGATTACAAAGCTGACATGCAAAGCAGTCCAGGTGGTAGACGTTGTCCTTGGCACGCATCACCATCTCAAAGGCAGGAATGAGCTTACTACAGGCAGCGCAGTTTCCCGTGACACCAAAGAGCCTAAAACAATAAAAAATTTTTAAACTTGTACAGAGAGCCTGGAATAGGTGACTAGAGAAGATGTGGTGGCAGCCTGTAAAGCTCTTGATACACAAAGCCTGAGGATGCACACAGGTGAGTTGGGCCTCGTGAACTCGTACGTATTCTTCTGTGATACATACTCAGCTGACCTTTCTTGATGAAAATCACATCGTGTTTGAGCAGGAAAGACAAATACATTAGGAAGCTTACAGAACTGTACACAAACAGAAGTCACAGGGCGAATTCATAGCAAATGTTAGAATATGCGGTAAACACAAAAGCAATGTAACTCTGCTGTTAATGCCACTTACTAAACATTTCAGTTGGAAAAGAAACCCATCTGCATGACTCAGTGTTTTTTGACACCTTGTTACTAAAAGGTTTGCCATTATTATTAAGAGAACTCTTAGGAATAAGCTGTTTAAATAGTCAGAAAACATTAGCCGTGACGTACCTATGGCCCCGTACCATAGTTACAGCTATGGTGGCTTTCCAGGTAGCACATTAAAGGAAATAAGTCTGTAAGGTACACAGAACTAGACCGGGAGTTGAAACAGAACACATTTTAAGAACCGCAGGAACTATGGTTTTTGACAGTGTCCTATCTTCTGTACATTTCTGAAAAGTTATTATAGTGACCTAAGAAAAGAACAAAATAAGTTGTGTAGTTTTAATGGGAAGAAATACTTTATCCATTTGCACTGGTAATATTTAAATCAAGTTTTTAAATAGTGGTTAATGGTGATGAAAAGTTAATATAAATACTATTCTGTGCATGATAGTTAAGGCACTTGAACTAGGAAGCAAACTAGATGAAAAACACATCTGCCAGTTTTCTTTTTTCTACAGCATCAGGCTGACAGGAGGAAATATAATGACTCTCAAGGGAAAAACCAAATTAAAAGCAGTTCTAAACTAATGAATTCAAAGGTGCTATGGAGAAAACTCAGTTATAAAAATGTACTTAAAAAATCTTGCCCTTTCATTTTATTGAATTTAAGGATTATATACAAATGTGTAGAAGTTTCTCTCCTTATTGCTTTCTATGTACTCCAAAGATAGGTCTTTGCTCAAGGCATGCATATTCATTTTCAAATGTGTAATTACTTCCTCTTACCAGGCTGATGACAACTGTGGCCAGGGGTTCAGGGGTGGCTTTTGTGTGACAGGCTAATGTGTCATTGTGTTCATACTTATGTTTTTGTCAGATTGTTTCTGGGAGAACATAAGCACCTTGAGGGGAAGAACTGTCAGTGCTTTTCAGACAGTTTGCCAGCGTAATCCCGGCACCAGATTAAAACATTAGTCAGCTTTATAGTTAAGACTAAATTCAAAGTTGCTGGGTACTTACTTTCCTGAAAGAATTTTAAAGCCATTTCCCCATGTTTATTTGAAGGACATTAACTCTGATAACCTCTGTGTTCTCGGTTTCATGATTTTTCTTTAAATATCGTTGAAAATGTAGCCTCTGCATATCCTACTAATATTCTTTTAAAAATGCAACCATCACAAACTAAAGTTTTCTTCCAATTCTTTTGTCAGCAGCTCTCACCTTTCATTCGAATATTTTATGTTTACTTCCAGTTACTCCCTGGCTCTGTTCAGGAGTCACAGCACTTCTGTATGTCATTTGTTTCTTCTGCTCTTTCGTTATTATTTTTGAGAAATAGGGAAATCCTAAAAGTTCTTTATTCCATGAATATAGATTCACTTGTGCAAATCAAATGTAGTTCATATGAGAGAAAGCAGTTTTAAGAACTACTCAGTTTGCTCATACCAATAAACATACACACACAATGCCATTTTGAAATTCTGGACAGAGTTTCCCCCAATTTCAATTGCTCTCGCTAGCTGAGCATTTATCAGCTACCTGATTAGAATTTGTTTCCACACAAACCATTGATCATCAGCCTATTACTAGGCAAATGACAGTTAATTACCCACTACATTAACCACTGGGACCTGAGACCTGCTTCTGCTGCCATCAGTCAACATGATAAATGTGGCAAGTTCAGTAATGCATGGCCAGCCCTGAGCTGCCTGCTATACTGTGAACAACCCTCAATCTCACTTCCAGGCTCAGGAAAATCTATGGCAATCTGCATAATTACAAGCTCTGGGTTAATAACAGACAAATGATTTGTTGCATCTAAACAAAGTCCTTGGAATGGTCCGGGTCTCCGGTGGCCGCCCGTACAGCCTGCTGCTGCTGGTGTACTCTCCATGGCGGTGTGTGAGAACTGGTTTCTGACGCGATAGTCCTCCAATTTGTTGCCCTCCAATTTATGGATTCTGCATATGTGATTTTTAATCATTAAAGGACTCTTGAAGCAATATTATCTTAATTATTCTCTGCTGTAACCAGGGAATTAGGCTTCAGATAAAATTTTCTTCTTCCACGCACTTACCCTGCCTCGCTGGAGGCTCCATCAGTTTCCATCTACACCTGGACTCTGAAATCCTAATGATGAATTATTGCCCCTTTTCCTAAGAGGGCGAACCTTACAAGGGAACATTTTACTGAACTGTCAGCTCACAGACTGAGTGCGGAGATGCGGAAATCTGATCTAATTTACTGCAAAACGATGCATTTGTTAGACTTTTCCCTGAGTTTTATCCAAGGATCAAGAGATCATTCTACAACCACATTTGTGTTCTCTTTTTTCACAGTGGGACAAGCCCAAGATTTTCTGGGAAAGGAAGCAAAACAGAATTTTTAAAAACACCTATTTTTTGATTTGCAAACCATTTGGATTCTCAGGTAAAAAGAACTTTCATTAAGTTTAAGTTGCACTAAGTCCTCTTCTGTGTTTTTTCGCAGACTTATCCTAAAAAATACTCAAGGAGGGGTCAGTTGGCTAATTCATTCAGATGATTCGTAATGCTGGGCATTCTTGCAGCCCCTCCTCGCCCCTTCTCCCTCTCAGCCTTATAAGGTGGTTAATGCTGATCTACTATTTTTTACTTAAACTGGAGCCTCTCTAATCTCTTTACAGCTTACACAGTCTCATCCTTGAATTGAGTGTAGGCCTAAGCACACTTTAGTAAGTAGTCCAGTGAGACAAACAATGCCTCTTAAAAAAGTAAGTCATTTTGAAATTTTCATTAAATTAATGGTCAGAAAAAAAATGGGCCATTGATTCATTTTCATCTTAAAATGTCTTATAGATTATTAAAGCATGGCAAGGGTTAATTTGCCAATTTATAGGCTAGACTGTTCCCTACTATTTATGCTTACAATGGACTTTAAGCAATATGACCTTTATCTTGTTCCTGACATGCTATCCAAAGTAGACTTGCAATATAAAAGGTGACAACTATCATCTACACGGTATCAGTGTGTATTACCATTTGTAGGAATCCCAGAGGATGTTTCTGTCCCTTTTCCATTGCATTTTCACTTTCACTACCTGTATTGACAATCTAAACACAAAGATAAAAATCAAAAAATAACTTTTTTGTGGGTAAGAACCCAGCCCTTCTGTATGTGCTTTATAACACCTTCAGCACTGTAATGAGCATACATAGGAAAATATCTAATAATTTTTGTATGTGGGTGGCATAGCAAGAACTAAAACAGTGTACATGTATATATTTTTAAAGGTACCCAGAAAAATGTTGCATTTTGACTAAATGTTCAACAGCTTTTGCAGCATAGTCATAAATCAGGTGAATTTACATATGGTTAATATATATCCATTACTAAAGTTCCTGGGGGTGGGGGTAGAGAAAAACTTGAGACACTTAATCATTTAACATAGCAATAATGAATATGGTTTACTACGGGCATCGGGAGGGAAATGAGTGTTCATTGTATTAGTGTCTTTTATTTCACAGCACCAGATGTTCCTATAGATTTTTTACCAGGTCAGTGGCTCAAGTCACTAAATCAAATTCCCCAAGCCAATGGAAAGCATAGTGTTGGACTCAAATTAATTTATTATTTGGACAAAAATGCATAAATAAATATCACTGCAATAAACTTTCATTCTAAACAAAGACCAAGTATTCTTTGTTGGGATTCAGGCAATTCTCATTTAGTGATTGAGCACACATGAATTTAATAGTAAATGTCTAAATATTGAGGCTAAGACTGTAGTTATCACCCTACATATAGATAGATTTAAAAAAACACCTCTCTCTGCAGAACAAAGAAAGGAAAGTTTGGTTTTCTGAGGATAGGAAGGTGTAAACACATGTGAAGAGCTTTAACTTTTGACTGCTGGATGAGCAATGGCTTCTTTGTCTATTACAAATATACTTCTCATCTCCTTTTCTATTTCATTTTTCAAATTAAAGAATTTAATGATAGAAAAGGAAAACACTTTTAAACATTCTTTTGTTTTAGACATATAAGCTCACCCACTTTAAGGCTGGAGAGAGTAAACCTATTGTTCTCTCTCCTGTTGGGTCTTAGCCTGTGCTCCAGTGTCATGGAGATACAGATACTGTGGGAGTTAAAAAAAAAAAAAAAAAAGGGCAACAGACAATTTGAAAATATACACAGGAAAATATTGAAAAATGTTTAACATTAGTTTGAACTATGCTTCTAGTTGTACAGTGGGCTTATTTAGCACATATTTATGCATATAGATGACTCTTTTTTTCTAAAAAAACTAAAAGATTTCTAAAACCTATTTCACAGAAACGAAATATATCTTTTATAAAATGAATCCTAAAGATTATTTCTTTCAAAATTAAGTACTTTCATTCTATGACCTTAACTCTAATTTTGCTTATTACGTTTTAGCCTTTGTATGCCAAATAAGTCATGATGAAATAGTCACATGAACATATATACATGGGTAGTATACTATACATTCTCAATATACATATATTCTTTCTACATATATGTAATTTCTTGTAAATATGATAAAAGGTGATATAAATCATTAATACGTCATCTGAATCTTACATAAGATCTCTTTAAATCTTTAGCATAGAAAAAGGCAGAAGGTGTGTGCGCACACACACACACG